GACCAGAGCCTCCTTCAGAGCACAGAGAGTCTTCTGGCACTCCTCGGACTGGACCACCTTGTCTGGCTTCCCCTTCTTATAAAGCTCAGTGATGGGGGTGGCTATGGAGCTAAAGTGGGGCACAAACCTCTGGTAGTACCCCGCCATCCCAATAAAAGCCTGGACCTGTTTCTTAGTATGGGGAGCTGGCCAATCTCTGATCACCTCCACCTTAGCCTGCTCTGGCTTTAGGCAGCTGTTCCCCACCTTGTGGCCCAGGTGTGATATCTCTGACATCCCTACATTGCATTTCCCAGCTTTTATAGTCAGTCCTGCATCCTGGAGCCTGTCCAGCACTTGTTTAACCTGGGACACATGCTCCTCCCAGATCTGGCTAAAGACACAGATATAATCAATGTATGCCAGGGCAAAGTCCCCCAGCCCCTTCAGTAATTGGTCCACCAGGCACTGGAAGGTTGCAGGTCCCCCTTTGAGGCCGAAAGGAACTCATATAGCCCCAAAGGGGTGATAAAAGCAGATTTCAGCCTGGCATCTGGATCCAATGGCACTTGCCAGTAGCCCTTGGTAAGATCCATACTAGTGAGATAACGAGCCCCCTCAGCTTGTCTAGGAGCACATCAGGCCTAGGCATGGGGTAGGCATCGGACACAGTGATGGCATTAAGCTTCCAGTAGTGCACACAGAAGCGGATAGACCCGTCTTTTGCGGGACCAGCACCACAGGAGACGCCCAAGGGCTGGAGGATGGCTGCATCACCCCTGGAGACAGCATGTCCTTGACCTCTCTCTCCAGGTCTTGGGCAGTTTTCCCTGTGACTATGAACAGGAAGCATCTTACAGGAGAGTGGGCTCCTGTCTCCACTCCTCCACAGCCAGGTTAGTGAGCCCAGGCAGGTTGGAAAACAGCTGCAGATAGGAATACAGCACCTCTCTGATCTCTGCCTGCTCGGTAGAGCTTAGCTGGTCAGAGAGGGGAACTGATTCCAGCGATGGCCCAGCTCCTGTCTCAGGGAAGAGAGCCACCAAGGGATCATCTCCCTGCTCCTCCCACTGACCACACACAGCCAGTACCAAATTCTCCCTGTCAAAATACGGCTTCATCGTGTTGACATGGTTCACCCTGTGGCTATGAGTGTGGTTAGACAGTTCCACCACATAGCTCACTTCATTCAGCTGCTTGATGACCTTAATGGGCCCATCCCAGGCAGCTTGTAGTTTGTTCTTTCTCACGAGAATGAGAACCATCACCTGGTCCCCAGTGGCATAGGTGCGGGCATGCGCTGAGAAGTCATACCAGATCTTCTGCTTCCTTTGGGCCCTGGCTAGATTCTCCCTGGCCAAGCCCATGACTCCCCATCGGGAGAGGCCTTCCCCTCCCATTCATCCCTCATTAAGTCCAGGGGGGCCCTCACTCTCCTCCCATACAGCAACTCAAAAGGAAAGAACCTTGTAGATTCCTGGGGCACTTCCCTGAACATGGGGTAAATACTTTTCCCAGTCCTCTGGGTGCTGGTTCATACAGGTCTTCAGCATCAACTCTAGAGTCCCACTGAACCTCTCAAGAAGACCGTTGGACTGAGGATGATACGCTGAGGCCCAGCTGTGCCGGACGCCACACTTCTCCCACAAGCACCAGAGCAGGTCTGACATGAATTTGGACCCCTGATCTGTAAGGACCTCCTTGGGGAACCCCACTCTCCTGAAAATGGTCAGTAGTGAGTCTGCCATAGTGTCTGCCTCAATAGAGGACAAGGCCACTGCCTCTGGGTACCGGATGGCAAAATCTACCACCACCAGAATCTATTTGTTCCCTGACCAGGTTGCCTTGCTGAAGGGCCCCACTATGTCCACAGCCACGTTCTGAAAAGGCTCCTCTATGATGGGCAGAGGCCTTAAGGTGGCTTTACCCTTATCCCAGGCCTTCCCCACCCTCTGTCAGGGGTCACAGAACCTGCAGTACTGCTGGATGTCATCAAAGACTCCGGGCCAGTAAAAGTTCTGTAGCAACCTCTGCCTGGCGCGCTGGATCCCCTGGTGTCCCGAGAGAGGAATATCATGGGCCAGGTACAGCAACCTGTGGCAGTACTTCGGGTGGACCACCAGCTGACTCCAGATCCCCCATAACTTCACTGCTCCTTGGGGAACCCATTCATGGTACAGGAATCCCTTCTCCCACAGGAATCTCTTCCGGCAGCCTTCTCCCAGGGCCGCACTGTGGCCAGCAAGTTCCCTCAGCTTCTCCAAGGAGGGATCCTTCCATAACTTGGCATGGAATTCACGGCTGGGGAAGGGATGGCGACCTGCTCCCTCTCGCTGGCTGGGTTTGGGGTCACAACGCCACCGAGCCCTGTCACTGGTGGCCCCCTTCACACTGGGGTTGGGCCCCGCACCCCTTGCTGGCTATGGGTAATGACTTGGGCACTCTGGGGTCCGCCCGGCCAATCCTCGGTTGGCAGCTGATGGTGCACCCCATGTCTTTGGGGCCCTCCTTGGCCCCCAATGTCAGACACACCCTCGCTACAGGTACCTTAATTGGGGGCCCGCACGTGCCCGGCAGGGTCAGGTAGGTGTTGGGCACCACCCAGTCTGGGGCCACCATCTCAGGCTGGGCCAGTGTCACCTCAGCATTTGTCTCCCAGTACCCGGTGACCATCCACCTCCAGGGGAATGAGGCAATCGCTCCTCAGGGGCTGTCCTGTGCCCAACCTGTAGACTGAGAACTTTGAATACAAAGTATCAAGGCCCACTCCCCGAGGAGCTGGCCTGGGAGACGCCTCCCTCCTGAGTCATGGGTAAACTGCCAGCCCCTCCTGCCTGGGGAGCCTGCCCCTCCTCCGGCTGGGATCCCACCCAGGTACCCTTTGAGGGCTCAGTTTGTTCATCCTGTCCCTGGATGTGGCATTGGGCTCATCTGTGGCCCCTCTGCCCACAGTAATTACACCTCATGTCCCATTGGTCCCCTGGGGCTGGTCAGTCAGCCTTGGTATTGGCTGCCCCCCTTGGAAGGGATTTATCCAAGTCCTCCTTTTGGGGGGCCCCTGAGTGACTCCCTTCCACACCGACATGGGCCTGTCCCCTTGGGATTCCATTCCATATCCCTACCTGCTGTCTACAAACTCATCAGCCAGCTGCCCTGTGCAGCGCTGCGCGGTCCTTCGGCTTCTTGTCCACTAGTCACATTCTCAGGTCAGGGAGGCAGCCCTCAGTCATCTTCTCCAGCCCCACCAGTTCGATCATGTCCTCCTTGGTCTGGGCCCCAGCCCCATTCTCCCATTTGCGGGTGTATCCCCTCATCCAGATGGACAGTTCCAGATAGGTCACCCCCCAGGGTCTTCTGCAAACTCCAGAACCTTTTCCTGTAGACCTCAGAGGTCAGCCCATACTTGCGCAGCAGGGCTTAGATGAACAGTTCATAGTCCTTTGCTTCCACCCCATCTATCTGGCTGAACAACCCTATGGCTTTGGGACCCAGTAAGGGAGTGAGATGCCAAAGCCTGTCTGCCGGGTCAATCTGGTGCAAACTGCAAGCCTTCTCAACGGCAGTAAGGAAGGCGTCCATATCCTCCCCATCCTTAAACTGGGGCAACAATTTTATATCGAAATTCCCTGCAAGCTTGGCCCCCCCGGGCCCATCCCCACTCACCATGGTAGAGATCTCTCTGCTTCTCAGCTTCGCCAATGCCACCTCTGCTTTTCCTCATGTTTTCTCTGTCTCTCATGGTCCTCCTATTCTTTCACATGGTCCTGCCGTTCCTTTTCATGGTCCTCCAGCTCTTTCACTTTCAGCTCCTCCTCCAGCCTTTGTCCTGCTACCTCATTGCATCCCCTCCTGGGCTCAGGTCACGAAGGGCATCGGCCATCCTCTACGTGGATACAACTGAGCAGCCTCACCTGCCCCGAGGGCCTCAGTAAAAATCACCCGCCCAATTCCCTTCCCCATATAGGCATTGGTGCAGCACATAGGGAAACTGAGGTACACACGGTATTAGTACAGAACAGTAAGACTCACATGCAACATAACAAAAGTGAACAAAACCCCACTTCATCACATAGCATTATAATAAAACAAATAATCAACACCATAAAGAAATAAGAAATCTGTAAGAAAAAAAATATAGGCAAGCAAGCAGGTTAGCCTTATAGGTTACAGTGACTGGCCACCAGCAGAGAAAAGGAGGAACCCTGGGGCACCAATGCCTAAGCCCTCTGCAATGGCAAGGGACTGAGTCAGTGCCAGATGACCCCAGTAGGTGACACCTGCCCCACACTGAAGAGAAAGATGACCCTCTCCCTCAGATCACTGCCAATCTGACATGGCAGGTGGGGGGTAATTCATTTTCCATGTCAATTCTGATGACCAGTTGGGTCATGAACATGCCAGCCTGACCCATCGGCCAGGCACCTCAGAGCATCGTCCCACCCCGTCCTGTCTCCAGCTGTGGATGATCCCTGATGCTTATGAGGAAGGTGAAAAAACATCCCAGAACACAGGGAGCCAATGGGGCATCAGGATAATTCTTCCTGCCTGAACCCTGCAGGGATGCATGAGACTGGATTATAATAATTGTCTTCATACAGGGCTGCAAGTGTTAGGAGCATGTTGAGCTGCCCCGTTTACCATTCCCACTTCCCTGAGCCAAGAACCCCCCGCTCTGGGGCTGGATCAGAGCCAGCATCCCCTAGAGGGGAAAGGCCCCATGATACATTTACCAACTGTCTCACAAAGTGGCAAATCTTCAGCCCCAATCAGTTACGTCCTGCTCCCCCCACTGGAAATCCACAAACTGCTGCAGACATGGATGGGCTGATAGGAGCTGGCTGCAATACAGACCACGCAGATAAAAGTCTGGCAGGGATCCCACCCTCTGGCCAAGCAGCCATGGCCCTGGAAGAGAGCAGAGCAAGGGGGTGGACTGAACTGGGGACTGTTTATCTAGGAGAAGCGGCTTGATTGGCCCACAGAGGCAGGGTTACAGAGCGGAAGCCAGAGTGAGAGAGGGGGAGGTGGGATGGGAAAGGGAAACTTTGGGAGAAAAGGGGCATTGAATGGGGGAGGAAGGAGGATCCTGTAGGAGAAGGCAGAGTCAGTGGAAAGGGGAAGGAGCCACCGGAGAGGAGATAAACAGCCCTCTGCAGTGTTTACACCCAGAATATTGCAGGGCTGGTTTTGTGCTTCTCTAAGGTCCTGTCCATTTCGGTACGGCCCAGGAGCTCACTCCTGTCCCCAAGGGGGGCTGCCATCAGCCAAGAGCATCTACAGGTGTGAATGTCAGTTGGAGCTGTGTGGGGTGAACCCAGGGCTGGTATAGCTGGGGGCTATGGGTTGAGATTGAGGGGCACTGGCAGAGGTGGTGGGAGGGTTAAGCACAGGGCTGGGATACCAGGGGACTACAGCTGGTCAGGATTGAGGGAACTTTGGTGCGTTGTTTTCCTGTGCGCTCGATTCACGGATTACTGGCTGGGTGCAGAGTTACAGGTCAGGATATTGTTAATATTTCCTCCCCTCTTTATCTCCATGCAGGGCAGCCCTTCATACGTACAGGGTGAGACTGAGGAGACATGGCCCAGTCACATAGATCAACAGTGGTAAGTGGGAACCCGTGTGAGATGGGATCCTCCTGGGTCAGGACGCTGGGCTTTCCCCTCCCTCCCTCCCTCAGGACAACACCACCCTCTGGGAACAGGGCTGCAGGGCACATCTAGGAGACTTCACTGCAAGTACCTTCCAGTACTGCCCAATTCCTGTCCCAGGTGCCTGGTTGCTCTTGGAACCAGGGGGCCTTCAAACATAGAAGAATCATATAAGATCAGATGAGTTAATGTCAAAGGGCCACAGCTCCACTGGTGCCATTGGGCCAGCCCCCATCTGGTGTGAACGGGCCACAGCTCCAGTGGTGTCAATGGGCCATACTCCAGCCGGTGTATATCGGCCGTAGCTCCACTGGGGTGAGTGAAGAGGAGTCCTTGTTGCCCTGAGGGATTCGCTCCTGGTGTCACTAAAATTTTTTTCCATTGATAGAAACAGAGAAGCCCCCTGCTGTGTCCCATGCCAACTCCACGTGCACATGATCTCCTCCAACTGCCTTGGTCCTTTTGCCAACTGCTCCCCTTTCTCCCCCTCCCCTTTGTCCCCATCCCAGGGCTCCAGTCTAGTCCCTAGATCATTGGTCCCTCGGAAGGACTCCCTGGGCACAGACATCTTTCGCGATGACAGTGGAGACTGCATCGTCCGCTCCGACCTGGGCTGCTACCTGCAGACGAAAGATTTCCTTGAGAGGGGGCATGACATCAAGATCCGGAGACTGCACCCTGCATGCCAGGGTGGGGATCACTATGTGGGCAACAGGCAGGAATCCAATATCTACATCATCAAGGGCAGTTCCTATCGGGTTGTGAGGGACCTGAGCACAGATAAGGGAGCTCAGATCTTTGAGCTGCATCCCAGGTGCCGCGGTGGGGACCACTACGGGAGGGCTGGTTGGACCTTCTTCATCATTTTCCAAAACCAGGGTGAAATCCGCTGGGTGACTAATTTGAGGACAGCTGAGGGTGAAAAAAACTTTGTCTTGCACCCTGAATGCTGCAAGGGGCTCTACTACTTTGGCATCGATCAGTACCTAGCCCTGATCAAGATGGATGAGAAGTGGGGAGCTCATTTCTACCTGTACCCAGACGCGAGCAAAGACAAGCTGGACTCCTTCTTCTCCATCCACCCCGACGTGCTGAACTTCTTCCCTGGGGGCTTGACCCTCACCAAGGGCATCTCAACCTGCGGCTGGGAGTGCATCAAGACCCTGCACAACAACTCCGACTCCCCCATCACCTGGTCTGACAAGGTCACCCGCAAGGTGGGCTATGCCAAGCAGAAGATGTCCACCATTGAGCACAACTGGAGCATCTCCGCTGAGATGTCCCTCAGGGCTGGAGACCTCACCAAGCTCATCACCCAGCTCCAATTCTCCCTCAAGGCTGAGTACGGCGGGAGAAGCATCCGCACGGAACAGGAGGACTGGAATGAAGCCCGAGAAGAAGAGGAGTCAATCCAGGTGACCCTGGAGCCCCAAAAGAACCTGTACATCTGGCAGTACCAGCTCGGCATAGGCCAGGAGCCCGTCTTGTTCTGCAGAGACATCCAGTTCACCAAAGAAAACAACCCACCCGACCGCATCCCACTGCCTCCAGTCCCCTAAGTGCCCATGAGGATGGAGAATGCAGCACCATGATGCTATTCTGGATGTGTGCATGTGAGCTTCTTTGAATTAGTATTACCCCTTCCGGTCTTTCCCTGGGCTGGCCAAATTTCACCCACCTCATCCCAGCTGTTCTCCTCCTGGTTTTCCTCCTGTTCCCAGCTTTACTCAAATCTTGTCTGCAACAAAGATGGTTTAATTAAACTTTCTTCCCTTCCTATTTTAGCCAACGGTTTTAGTTGATTGTTCATTTATTGTGTGATCTTATGATTAACTAACATGTCATGGCACATGTAATCATTGTAAGCTGAAGAGAGTTAAATTGTAGGATTATAGAAAGGTAAGATTGATGAGCATCGGGGATCATCCATAGCTGGAGATGGGCCAGGGTGGGCCAGGGCTCTGAGATGCCTGACTGGTGGATCGGGCGGCTTCAGAGGATGGTGAAAAAAAATCCCAAAGAACCAATGGGGCACCAGGGTAACTCTTCCTGCCTGACCCTGCCGGGGAAGCCCTGAAGCATGAGATCAGATGGTAATAATAGTCTTCATACAGGGCTGCAATTGTTATGAGCATGTTGAGCTGCACTGGTTTAGTTTCTTAATTTCCATCCCCCCAGTTCATCTAGAGGGGAAAGGCCCCGTGTCCCATTCCCACCTCCATGAGTCACCAACCCCCCTTAACATGGAGAAGGGGCTCGATGGGGCAGGGTTAGGGGGTGGAAGCAGGAGTGGGAGAAGGGAGGGGGAAAGGGAGGGGACACTTGGGGGCGGAAGGGGGGCATTGGATGGGAGAGGAAGGAGGAGCCTGTAGGAGAAGATGGAGTCAATGGAAAGGGGGAGGAGCCACTGGAGAGCAGTACCAGCAGAGGTGAAAGTAAGCCGGTACAGGCCGGTACGGAGTACCGGTATAAAAAGGTTCAGCAGTGTACAGGCAAATAAGTGGAGCATTCAATACTGGCTTCTTTCACCTCTTTTGGCTGCATCAAAAACAGTTTAAACTCAAAGCTAATGAAAGCTTGGAAAGGGAAAACTCACTGTCACATTAGTTTCTCTCCTCCCTCCTCCTCCAGCCAGGCTGGGGGCGAGGCTTGGCTCCATGTTCCCCGACCCCCGCACTCAGCAGGGGCTGCAGCGGCTCCCCTCTAGCGTGCAGCAGGGAGCAGGGGGACTGGCTGAGGGAGAAGCCTGCCCAGGACGCCTGCTGCCTGCATAGGAACAGTTTAAACTCAGCTGTTCACTCCGCGGGATTAGGGGCCATTTCTGGCATCCTTGTTAATTTCACTCACAGTTGTTGGGGGGGGCGGGGTGAGACCAAGGCAGGGGCAGAATACAATAGGCATTTGGCTTAGGGTGACCAGACGTCCCGATTTTATCGGGACTGTCCCGATATCTGCTTCTTTGTCCCGCGTCCCGACCAATGTTTGGTCGGGACACTGGACAAAAAAGAAATGTTGCCCTCCGCTCTGGCGCTCACGCCCCCCGCCCCAGCTCCGCCCCCTCCTTCCCCCATTGGCTCCCTCCCCAAATCCCCACCCTGGCCCCGCCTCTTCCCCAACCACGCAGCATTCCTCCTCCCTCCCAGGCTTGCAGCATGGCAGGGCAAGCCTGGGAGGGAGGGGG